ACAAAATGCTTTAGTTATGGAAGAAGCCGTGTTAGAGAGTGTTCTTGGTGTAATGATATCAAACGAAGTCGAATGGGAAAAGCATATCAACACATTTTGATTGCTTTTCCCATTCAATATTTCCCATATTGCGGCAAAAGCTAATAGAAAGCTCGGTCAGATAAAGAAATTTTTTTGTTGATTAGATGAAATTTCAATAAAACATTTGTACACGTCATTGGTTCGTCCACACCTGGAGTTTGAATAAATAGTTTAAAAAGTTTTTGCTATGAAGATAGACTGAAAAAATTTAACTTAACTACTTTAAAAACAAGAAGAGAAAGAGGCAATTTAATTTAATTTTATAAAATAAGAAAAAATATGGATTAAGTTAAATGAAATCATCCTCCTAAAATAATTAAATATGCAATAACAAGAGGTCATACTCAGAAAATACAAAAACAATTCACACATTCTACCACAAGATTTAACTTCCTTACAAACAGAATAGTTAACAATTGGAATAATTTAACAGAGGTGATAATTAATTCTAAAAATGTGAACATTTTCAAAAACAAGTTTGATCGTTTCGAAAAAACAAAATTAAAATATAAAACAAACAAAATTAAAATATAAAAAGAGAAAAAAAAAAAAACACTTTTGCAACAGCTGTCAAAGTTATAACATCTACAGATGTTAGACTCACACATTGTATGTGTACAGCAATAATTTGTTATTATATTATTATGTATAATAATTTAAAATAAAAAAAAAATTAGATTTTGGACACACACACATGCAAATGACAAAGGGTGAAAGAAACCCTGTTTGACTTTAAAAACTTGCTTTTTTTTATTCTTAAAAAATAAATTTGAGACATCATAATTATTATTTTATATTTGTAATATGGGGAATCCACTGTTGTTCAATAAAATAAAAAAAATTATACACGCAAAGTTCAATTTGTGTAAGTGTTGTTTATCACTTTTATAATTATTTTAAAAATTAATTTTGTTCACACTTTTCAATGTTTCTTTTTTATCAAGCTCTTTTTCAAACTTGTCTAATTCTTCATTAGAATTAGATTTACCTAAAACTGAATGAAGTGCTGTAAATGATTCAGCTGTTTTGACAATCAATCCCATAGTACTTTCCCCCTGAAATTATTAAACAGTTGAATAGTTCCTTAATTGCACGTTTGCAATACCAGGGTTCCCACTCCTCGTTTAAAGCCTTAAATATCCTTAAAAAACAAAAACTTCCTTATGTCCTCAAATAATCTTTAAAAAAGTTATAATTTGACTGCTCTTAATTTTTCCTTTTTACAGGTTAACATAAAAAAAATTTCTGTTACCAAGCAAACAATTTGTTTTTGTAAAGCATTTCTCATTTTAATTTCAAATATGCAACTCATTTTTCACTATCATGTCAAGTTGTAAAGATGTTAAGTTGTAAAGAATTGTAAGAGTTGTAAAGAGTTGTAAAAAGTTGTAAAGAGTTGTAAAGGTTCAAATCTTTAGTATTTGGGGTAAAATACCTGTCAAAAAAAAAAAAAAATCAAAAGTATGTCAACCTGGGTCTCAAAAGAAGCATATTTTCATAGACATTTTAGAAACCACAAATCTTTGACCTGTGTTGATCTTATTAATAAAGAAGTATAGCATAAAAATATATAGTTCTTTGATAGTTTGCAAACCTATATTTTTATTAAGTATAAATTTATATTTATGTATATATATAGAGAGAGTAATATATTAGTTTATAATAATTTCTCTGTAATAATATTAAATTAATAACTCTGTAATAATATATTAAATTATAATAATTTATATTTAAAATTAATTGGAAAAAATAAGATTCTGTTTATAATGTAATCTTTTTTTCCTTAATTCTCCTTACTTTTTTTTCTTCAAAAAAATGTTGTTTGCCACTAAATCTCTTTAAATATTAGGAAAATATGTTCTTGAATCTTCTTAAAATCCTTACTTTTAGCCTCAGTTTTAATAGTAGGAACCCTGAATATGAGTTCTTCTTTCGAAGGGAGATTTTCCTTTTTAATATAATTGTTCTAACAATCCTATGGGGCTAGTCGTAAGTCGTTTTCATGATTTTTTTTGCGTTAATTTTTTACAAAATTCTTTTGAGTACATACAAAAATCTGAATTCGGCATGGTAGTTATTAAAAAAACTTGTTTAATGCGAGCAAAGTAATTGATCATAACAGAAGCAATTCTTGTTATTCCGCGAATCTTCTAAATCTGCTGCCATGATTAAACATGGAATGGATGTGATCAAGACAGCTATTGATTTTTTAAATTAATGTCAAACATCTGTCATTACTTTTGACCAACCATTATACCTTGGTTAAACTGATACAGTGGAATTGTAAAAAAATACTATGGAGAAAAAGCTTTTGTCATTATGATGGGGCCTCTTCATATCAAAATGGCAGCGTTTAAAACAATTAGAGATTAGTTGAAAAATTTCGGGTGATGTTTTGCTTTAGTTGAAGGTTTCATCAGCAGGGAAAGCTGAATTATACCTTATGCATCACATTATCAAAAAGTGTGCATCAGGTGAAGTTAAAGTCCATTTTTAGGATGGATGAGTTTGATTTTGTGTTATACAAACAATTACTAAACATCGTTGTTTAGACAATTTTGAGTTATAAATGCTAAAATAAAAAAATTATTCCGTAATAGGTAACAGCTGCAGCTCTTGATATTTTGATGAAAAAAGCTCATTAAGACTTCATTTTGCTCATGAAAACTTCAATTTCCCACCGTCTCTTTAAAAAGATGGACTGTTCGGCAGTGGAAATATATCAGACCTTTTAACTTATTTCAATGATTTGCACTTAAAGATAAACCCATAGTTAAATAATTGATTATTGATGGAGCTGTATTTGTGAATATTTTATCACTCAAAAATTATTAATCTTTCGCAGATAATTGAACCAAGGTATTCCAGAAATTCATTTTGGAACAGTTACAAACATCTTCGCTTCCAACAAGACTGCAACCAACCACTATTAGATTTGGAAGTTACTGGAAGAGAAAAGATAAAGATTGTCTAGTGAAATAACAATTGAGAGATGGACTTTAAAGATTGCAAATTATATAAATCAGGAAAGCAAGATAAAATAGGCAAATTCCAAAGAACTGATATTTCGAGTTAAAAAATTAGAGGAATAAGAGTTTTTTGAGCATTTAGCAACAGTCACAGAAAAAGGATGAGACTTAATTGGATGACAAGTAACACGAGAATAAATTTTAGTACATGGCACAAGAGAGGCTAGCTCTTTAGAGCAGTGTCCCTTTTAGTATTTGTAGAAAAAAAGAAAGACAAGCAACATTATGATGATGTGATAATGGTTGATGATTGGCTGCAAATGCAGGTTCAACTATGTTTACTATGTGTTTTTGCACCTTGTCTAAAAGAGAAAGGGCATCATTAGAAGATAAGGCAACAGTATTCCATACAAGGATGGATTTAAGATTTATAGAGGTAAAGAATAGAATTCGGAGTAAGAAAGTGGCGAGCATTATAGAGAGATGCAAACTTAGCAGATGCTATTTTTGCAATCAATTTAATATACTTTCCAAAAAAGATCAGAAGTAAGAGTTAATCCTAGAAGATGAAGGGTAGATAACTCATTAAATGCATTACCGTTCATAAATATAGGAAGATCTAAATTATAGCAATACCATTTGGCTGAAAAAAGTTGGGTTTTATCTGAATTAAAGATCACCTGCCACTGTGAGGCTTGTTCAATTTGATCAGAAATAACATCAAAAAGAGTGCAGTCTTGAGATGAAGGAGAACAATAAAGAACAAAGAAAGGCGTTAAATTGAAGTGGTGTTAAATGAAAGCACATAAAAGAATAGTCTGTGGATTCAAACCTAGTTTCCAGACAAATGGGTGAGTTCTTACGAATATAAATGCCTAGCCCAATCATGTAACTATCGGAGTCTATACAAATTAAAGGAAAATAAACATCAACACTAAGATCACAAGGCGAGACAATTTAAGTCACATTAGTCTCACAAAGAGCAAGTAGGTCTGGCGAACTTAGCAAAAGATAAGAATGAACAGAAGAAAAGTTACGTTGAAGGCCACGAATGTTAGTGAATGATAGGTTTCAGAGACATTGGTTATGACAATGGTTTTTTGTGTTTTATAGATTTTTGCTACTTTATTCATTTTTAAATTTGTTAAAGAACTTGATTTATAGCATAGAATGTACTCAGTACACTATTTAATAGCCGGAGCAATTGCCTCATTACTATTTATAAACCCTATTCTGTAACAATGGGCTTCAAATGTGGCCTTTACAATGCATACCTTTAGTACAAACAGGGACACCATTTATGCAAAACATGGCATTGTTAATGTTTTGATATTTTCAGCTGTTGATGAAATTAGCCTATCTGAGAGCTACCACCGACATGCCGGCCTCAGAACCATAAAACTGAGATTTAGAGCTGTGCTATCATTAGGTGATAATAGAATGAGTTGCCTAGTTACAAAAACAGAGACACAAACAAAACTTATCTATTGAGTCAAGAAGATCCAACATTCAACATTCTAAACTGGAAACAATGTATTATAAATACATCTGCGCCAGCCTAATAGATATGGAATGGGTGTAAAGCTGGTCAACAAATAGAAACTATTTTCCTCTTATGTATTTGCGTAGGAGGCCTTTCAGGGTTCAAGACAGTAGCCGGATGTATATAACATCTGCCCAAGATGAGTATTTTTATCAAGGTATATAAGTATAATGGTATAATGGTATATAAGTGCCATTATATTTTAGTTCAGCAATTAAAATCAATTATAGCACGTCTATTTCCGGATGAAAACCATATATTTCAGCAAGACAATGGCCTAAAGCATTCAGTAAGAAAAAATAAACGATATGTATAAAATGCTAGATTACCTACCTTTAGTGGCCAGTACAATCAGCTGTATATATTCTGTATTTAACAACAGAGATGTAAAAAATTAGAATCTATAATCTATTTTACCATTCTTTTTGAAAAAATTAAAATTTTCCATTTTAGTTGATTTTATTAATTCTGTTGTTTTTTTATATCTAACTGTTTTATTTAATTTTTATTTTTAATGACGGATAAAGTCTAGTTGAAGTTATTATTTGATATATTTGAAATAAAATTAAAAAATTATTTAAAAAAAATATCAATTTTTCTTTTTTTTAAAAAAACTTTTTTTTTTTTTTGACTCTATTTATTTCAAAACATTTTTATTAGGGTCAGGTATAAAAAATATGTTATTTTAAAAAGTACTACAACGAATCGTCTGGTTCCTTCTGTTTTACAATTTTAAAAAATAAGAAGAAAAAAATTACTTTCATGGTTGGTATAATATAATATTTCAATGAGTAGAAAATAGTTTAGGTTTGCACTCAAGAAGTAAGTAGTATGGTAGTGTATATTTAATTTTTGTAAGTTTTTTTTTAGGTTGCTGTAGCTGCTCTTCAATCTCTTGTAAAAATTGTCTCTCTATATTATGAATATATTGAAGCCTATATGGGTCCTGCACTTTTTGCTGTAAGTTTTGATATATTTTTTTTTTAGTTAGTATAAAAGGGAAATATTTCATTTACATTAAAAACCGAAAAATAAATAACAGATTTCATCTTAATCACAAAGTTTATTTAAACATATATACATATATATATATTAGGGCGATCATTAAAATAACTTTTTTTTTTATGTCTGCTCTCACCCTCTAAATGTGTTCTTATATAATAAAATAATACTAAAATATAAAATAAGAATCACTAAATAAAAAATAATTATATATTATTATGTATATAATATATATGATACTAAAAATAATCATCACTTTATAAAAAACATCGAAAAAAAAAATTATAATTAATTTTTTTTTGTAATAATGCATATTTTTAATTTTTAGTTAAAAAATGTTATTTTCTAAGCAGTGAAATCTAAAACAATAATTTTTTCATAAAATGATGATTATTTTTAAAATTTTTGTATAATTCCACTGCTTTTATTATTTTAAATTTTTTAATTCTAGTGTGTGTGTGTGTGTGTGTGTGTGTGTGTGTGTGTGTGTGTGTGTGTGTGTGTGTGTGTGTGTGTGTGTATATATAATAAATATATTTTATATATATATATAATAAATATATTTTATATATATATATACATATATATTTTATATATATATATACATATATATATTTTATATATATATACATATATATATATTTTATATATATATATATACATATATATATTTTATATATATATACATATATATATTTTATATATACATATATATATCTAAATATATATATACATATATATATCTAAATATATATATACATATATATATCTAAATATATATTATATTTAAAGGGCTTAATTTAACGGTTGGACATCAGACATTTTGACAGACTAAAACCTTTGATTGTCCACTCCATTTACAAAGAAATCGGAATTTTGACCAACTGGAATAAAATTCTACAAAATAAAGTTTGAACAGGAATGGCGTGCAATCGAACGCTTTTGCTGACAAAAGATTAAACTCAACTTATTTAAAGTAACTTAAAAAAATAACCTTTTAAAAGATTTTTAGAACGACTTGGAAAAATAGTTTCAAATGTTTAAATTTATCATAAAAAATACATATCTAATTAAAAAAAAAAAAAAATAATATTTTATTTACACATGTATTTATTTTTAAACAATCATTATAATAAATTTTGGATTTTATTTTGTTTAAAGCTCTCAAGTAAAATAAAAACTTTGAAAAAGATCAATAATTAAAAATTATTCGTATCATAACAATTTTTTTAATTGCATATAAAATTGCATGTTAAAATATCAAAACAGCTGTTGTCAAATTGTAAACAGGAAAAAAAAAACTTTGTCAGTTACAGCGTGAAATTTTGTCTATCTAAAAAAACGTACAATATTAAATATAAATTATTTTATTAATAAACAAAAAAATACGATGAATTAATCTAAATAGTAAGGAAAGAAACTGCAATTTCACTTAACTACCGTTAAATAAATTGAATAACATGGCAAAGGTTATGATTGCATAACTTGGTTCCATAAAACTGTAAAAATTTGATCTGACACTGTCTGACCCAAACAAGCATATATATATATATATATATATATATATATATATATATATATATATATATATATATATATATATATATATATATATATATATATATATATATATATATATATATATATATATATATATATAAGGTGAATAACCATTTTTAAATGTTTGAATTTCAACACTTACTAGCATTGTGCTAATTCCAAACTTTTGTATGTTCATGCTTATGTCAAATGAGAATGTGTTACAAAGAATTGCGGAACAAAAAACCCCTAATTTTTGGGCCCACCCAGCCCCTAACATGGAAACTACAAGTTTATAAAATATTTTTTTACTATTTTTATTGAAATTTATATTCATCAACAAATTTTTAATTTCATACAAAAACTCTTATTTTTTTTAAAATTATGGTCATATAAAGTTTTAAACCCTCCTCCCCCTGATTTGAGGGGGCTGTAAATTTTGCAGGGTCATAAAAACTGAACACTAAGAGATTATTGCATGAAGTTTGAAATTTGTTAATGAATGTAAATTAAAATGAAAATAGTAGAAAAATATTTTATAAACTTATTGCTCCCATGTTAAGGGCTGGGTGGGTCCTAAAATTAGGGTTTTTTTGTTCTGATGCTCCAATCACTACAATTCTTTCCTAAACATTCTCATTTGACATAAGCATGAACATGCAAAAGTTGCCTATAAGTGTCAAAACTCAAACATCTAAAAATCCAGTGGACATCTCTAATATATAGATATAGATAGATATAGATATAGATAATTCAAGCACCAGTCCAACAAACTCAAACTGTTTTTCTGTTTTCTATAATCCCTTAAAAGAAAAAACCTATATGTGTGTGTAATTTTATTATTTTGAGATTTTTTATAACAATATTTTATATCTTTTTCTGCCTTGTTTTAAGCGTCTAATTCTTTATGTGTGTGTATGACTATTTTATTGCAGCCTATTTTATGTTGGCCTAATTTAGCGAAAATAAAATTTATAATAAATTATTTTAAATTTAGATTACCGTTAATGCTATGAAAAGTTCAGAAGATGATATTAAACTGCAAGGCATTGAATTCTGGTCATCAATATGTGATGAAGAAGTAGACTTAGCATTAGAAGCTGCTGATGCTGAGGAAACTGGCACAACTCCACATTCATATAGTCGATTTTATGCTAAAGGTGCACTCAAAGACATTGTTCCATTATTATTACAAACATTAACCGCACAAGAAGAGCATGATGATGATGAGGATTGGACTCCCCATAAAGCTGCTGGTGTCTGTTTGATGTTATTGGCTTCTTGCTGTTCAAATGATGTGATTCCTCATGTTATTCCATTTATACTACAAAATATTTCTAACACAGATTGGAGGTTTAAAGATGCTGCTGTTATGGCTTTTGGTAAAATGTTTTTTAATTATAGTATTTTTTTTTATTGTCCTACACTCAATCAGTTTTAAACCCTAGAGTTTTTAATAACTTTTTTTTGAGTTTTGATATATGGGATTCTAAGTTAAGTAATAATAGTCTTAAAGGTTATAGTTTAAATAATAATAGACTTGAAGTGTCTTCAAATCGAAGTTTTATTTTTTTCTTATGAAGTTCAGGTGTAAAAAACTTTTTTTAATTCAATTCTGGATTCCACACAAAATAAGGACTCTTATTTTTCAGAGCTCTGACCTTCTAACGATCTCACCAGTTCTTAAAGATTTTAAATGTGAATAGTTTTTGTCTTGAAAGTTTAGATTTGAGATTAATTTTTGTATCGAAAATATCAAAATAAAAATATTATTTTTTTAATTTAGGTTCAATAGTTGAAGGTCCAACTGCTGAAACTCTAAGCCCATATGTAGTAGAAGTAATTATATTTATATATATATTTTTAAAACAATATGTTTGTTATATATATAAAAAAATTCTTTAATGTTTAAAAATTTTTTGTAAAACATTTTAAATTGAAATTTTTCTGTGAATGACTAAAAAATGCTGACATTTTAACTCTTACAAAATTAATCTTAAATAAGTTCAGTGTCAATTGAAGGGAAATTAGTACTGTAGCAAAAGTTCTTTCCAAAGCTTCTTTTTGCACAAAAAAATGGCAGCTCTGATATATAAATATATACACACACACTTACTAGGGTGTACACTGGGACTTGATCGGTCGCCAAAAGGGTGACTGAAAGTAACTAGTTTGTTATTTTTTGTTGCCTGCCAAATATTTGAGTTGCCTGTTACTTTTTTTTTTTTATAATAGTTTTTGCATTTGGCAAAATTGTTTTAGTTCTAATCATTTTCCTTAAAAATCAAAGTGTAGACTAGATATAGTTTGTAAATAAAAGTAATATTGTAAACTGTTGAGAACATTTGCTTTTCTACTTTCACATAAAGCACATGCCAATATGTACTTTTTTAGAACAACAAAATCTTGGCAAATATAAAAAATAAATAACAAATACTTTAAACCTATTTGGTTATAATGTTGTAATTAAAATTAATTGTAAATATAACAAAAGTTATTTAATGAGTCTAAATTTAGTATTAATAAAAAATTAAATTTCCTTGATTTATTTCTTAAAACAATCTTAAAACAAAACTTAACATAATCATTTTTGTTTGTTTATCGCAACTTATTTATTTTACGTTTTATGTATTAAATGCAATATTTTTAATTAAAATTATAAATAATTTATAGATTAATTTTATCAGTTATCAATAAGATATTTGTTAACATAATTTATGTTCATAAATGTATTACATCATAAACTTTACACAATATAGAAATAAAAAACAAAAAATTATAAATCCATTTTTTTTTTTTTTTTTTCTTAATTATCTTTGCTTCTAACAAGGCTGCAAGCAACCACTATTAGAGTTGGAAGTTACTGGAAGAGAAAAGATAAGGTTTGTAGAGCAAGATAATGATTGGCAGATGACAAAAAATATTGAAAATTGTAAATCAAGAAAACAAGATAAAGGAAGCTAATTCCAAAGAACTGATGTTTGAGAAAAAAACAAGGAATAAGAGTTTTTGGAGCACTTAGAAACAGTCACAAAAAAAAAGATGAGGCTTAATAAATGTTGAGTAACACGAGAATGAATTTTAGTAGATAGCACAAAAGACACTATTTTAGTAGATAGCACAAAAGACACTATATCCATTATAGTATTTGTAGGAAAAAAAAAAAAACAAGCAACATTACGATGATGTGATGATGGTTTGAGGTTGGCTGCAGGAGCAGGTTCAACAATGTTTACAAAGCATTTTTGCACCTTGTCTAAAAAAGAAAGGTCATCATTAGAAGATCGGCCCCCTGATATGGCAACAGTATTCCATACAAGGACAGATTTGAGATTTATAGAGGTAAAGAATAGAATTCAGAGTAAGAATGTGGCAACTACGATGAAGAGATGCAACCTTAGCAGATGCTATTTTTGCAATCGATTTGATATGTGGTTCAATACATTAAAAGTTAATACATTAAAAGACACATATATCATCAGTAAATACTAAGAATAAGAAGTATTTTGTGTATTAAGTAATTTGCGAAAAGAATTCTTTTAAACAAAGACACTTCTCACTTTATATAAGGAAAAAAAAGGTTTTTAACTTGCTTTTCTATATTATAATCTATGATGGAGAGACATGTTTTAAGTAATGAATATAGATGCATTATAAATCGCAGATGATAAGAAAAAAAAAGTTCTTTAATAAAAGTTGCAGAACTCTTTCTTTAAAACTTTTACATTCTTCGTTTTACTATTTTACATTCCTTCCTCAAAAATTTAAACGTTTGAAATCATATTTATTGTCTTTTTTAAATTTAAAAACATTTTATATAATAATTTGTTTCTTTAAAAAATTTGTCTAACCTAACGACCTAATATTTTCTGAATAAGCGTCACATGAACGCTAATAAACATAGATGAGTTTTTTCCGGGAATTCCCAGAATTCCAGAAATTCACTTAAAACTTCTTTAATTTTCCAGAAATTTCCGGGTGTTTTTTGTTATTAATTTGAAAAAAAAATAATATATTTTTACATAAAATTTTACGACAACTATTGCATTTAAACAAATAAGTTTTCTATCATTAAAATTTTCATGAGATAAATTTTTATAACAATTTTATTTTATTTTTTTTTTTTTTTGCATTTTAATTGATTCAAATTATTTTTTCGAATATTAGAAATTCCTTTTTGTAAAAAGTTAAATAATCTAAATTCCGTTTTAAAATTTTACGAAAGTTTTGTCTGTTAATACGATCAATTTTTAATAAACTAATTTTCCGGTATTTTCATTAAAAAAGATTGAAAAGTTTATTTCTATTACCTTATTTCTAAATTGCAAAATTATAAAAAAGTTAAAATAAGATAGTATTTTTGTTTAAACAATAAAAATTTTTAGTTTTTATTTAGGAAGTATTTTTTTAAATACATTTAAATACTCATGCAATTGTCTTATGTTCTAATTAAAGATTGAAAATGCGGAAAACAAACTTTAGCACTGTGACTTTCATAATATAGTTTTTATTTTTAGTTCTTTTTTTTTTTATAGAATCTTTGAATTAAAAAATATAACAAACTAGAACTGCAGAAAAAAATCAAGGTTGCCTTTTTGGGCAACTATATTGCATTATAGGAATAATATTAGTTACCCTTCACAAAATTCGGTCGCCTGGTACTTTTAGGCGACCTCAAGTGCACACTTCTGATATATATGTGTGTGTTTATATATATATATATATATTTGGGTGTGTATATATATATTTGCGTGTGTATACATATATTTGCGTGTGTGTATTTATATATATATATATATATATATATATATATATATATATATATATATATATATCAGGCCTTGCGATGAATAAGAACTGCGCGACGCATAAGCACGACGTGATTTTTGACGTCACTAAATTCTTTTTATTTGCTTTTCATATTTATCGATATTAACTGCACCAATTTACTTAATTACCGCAAAACTACTTTATATCGTTTATGTAGAAATGTTATTAATTAAAAATGTTTTGGAATGTCTCGTTTTTTAAAATGTAAAAACATTTGTTTATTTTCTCGACGTTTGTCACGTTTTGTCTATACTAAACAAATAAAAAACATTATAACTTAAATTTACAAAAGATTATAAAATATGCTAATGTTTGATTTTTTTTTTTCTTAAATATGTAATTTAAAGTTTTTCAAATAATTATTTTTTCTTTTTAAAAGGTCAGCAGTAATAAACTGGAAATTTTAATATTGTACGATTAAAAACAATAGCTAGTATTTTTACAAGCGATTTTATATAATATTTATTTATTTTTATTTATTTTCATAAAGCGGTTGATAAGCACAATCACTCGTATTAATAAAAAGCTTAAACGAACGTTTTGAATAGATTTTTAATGTTAACAAGGAATTTTATTTCTAGTAAAATAAAATAAAATGTTAGAATAAAAATCTTATAGGTATAAAAAAAATATTTCAGCGAAAAAATTATTAAAAATTATTCGAAAAACTATTGACGTTTTATTTTTCAGCAGCTGTTCTTGAGCAAGCTTCGTTGAGTTTCGGTAACTTTTAACATAAAAGCGATCATTATTATTTAAGTAATTTTTTTGAGTTACTTTTCACAAAAATTTTAATAACTGTACTTTTTTATTGAATTTAGTAGAATACGTTTTAATATTAATCCTTTTTTTTTTTTTTTTATTTTCGCTCACCAATTTTTAAAATGTTTCCTCGAAATTACTCTTAAATACTTTAAATACGTCTAACAGTTAATAAATATTTTTAAATCTATAGAATAATTTTAAAACCTAACAAACCCCCGTAAAATAATTATTTAAGTTTAAAATCTAAAACTAAAAGAAAGCATTTTTGTTCAATTTTATCGACATATTTGCTATTGCTGAATAATTTTATTAAAATGTTAGCTTAAAAGATTTAAACTTTTTTTTTAATCTGAATTTTTTCTACTTGTAAATAATGAGCATATTTAATTTTTTTTAATTCAAACTTTTATTTCAACTGCGTGCGGTTTTTAAAATACATTATTAAATGTTAAAATAATCGTAAATTACTTCATTAAAATTCCGCTCAAAAATATCTTTAAATATACTTAAAAAAAAATTTTTTTTGCTCGACGCAAATAGCCCTACCTACATGCAAAATCGCTCTTGGACGACGTAAAATTCACATCGCCCGACGCTTTATCGCAAGGCCTGATATATATATATATATATATATATATATATATATATATATATACATGCATACATGTTATTCTTCTATTTAAATTAAAGTAGGGAAAATAATGCTTTAAATAAATACTGGATGAAATAATAAAAATAAAAAACACTGGGAAAACAAATGTTTTATTTGAATTCTAGATAAAATAATAAAAATAAAAATTGCAAAACATTTTTATAAAAATAATAAACAAAGTAAATAAAATAAAAGTGTAAAAAACTAAGTAGTTCACATAAGTATAATTAAAACACAAAAGTGTTTTTACGATTTTTTGTAAAAGTATTTTTGTAAAAGTATTTGATGAAGCACTTTTTTGTGCGCTCGCTGAAAATTTTATTGGCGTGTGGGCAACCGCAAAAATGCTGGTTAAACACTATATATATATATATATATATATATATATATATATATATATATATATATATATATATATATATATATATATATATATATATATATAAACATACACACGTGCGTGTGTACATGCATAACTTGCATACACATATTCATGCATACATGCATTCATACGTACATATATACATACACACATATACAAACACAGCATAAAACCTTATGCTGTGTTTGTATATGTGTTATCAGTATTTTATTGCATAAAAAAATGTATTTTAATTTTGTTTAAAAGATTTATCAGTATTTTATCGCTTTAAAAGTTTAGCAAAAGAATTTCATGAATATTTTTTAAAGTATATTTATATTTGCAAATAAAATAGTTGCAATCATGAAATCATTTTGTTTCAAATTGTCTAAAAATTTGTTTAGTTAAATCTTTTGATAAACTATGCATATATTTTTGGAAAGCCTTAATTTTAAATAACAGCTTTTATGAAAATTTTACATTTTGATTTTGAAAATCAAAGTTTAGTTACTGGTTTTGTCACAAAGTGGAGGTGTAAAATAAATTATTAAACTCTTCATCATTAATGTTTTTTAGTATTTAATCCATCTCGGCAACAAAACTCTTTTGTCAGGTTTGATAAAAGTAAAGCAGGAACTTTATTTTATCAAACCAGACACTGGTCAAGTAAAGCCATTGTCAGTTATTAATAAAAGTTTAATACTTAGCCAATGTCTGTCTTTTGAGAGTTATTGCATTAATTGTACTATTTTAAACAAACTGGCATAAATGGAGCAGTTTAATAAAGAGATCTTTGTGCAAAAGAAAGTTTCTTTTGCACAAAGATCAAGCATATATATCATGCAAAATTGCATTGTAAACATAGTTGGACCTGTTCTTGCAGTCAACCTTCAACTTTTGTCACCTCTTCGTAATGTTGCTTGTCTTTCTCTTTTCTACAAATACTATAATGGGCACTGGTCTAAAGAGCTAGCGTCTCTTGTGCCATCTACTAAAATTCATTCTTGTGTTACTCGTCATTCAATTAAGTCTCATCCTTTTTCTGTTACTGTTCCTAAGTGCTCCAAAAACTCTTATTCGTCTAGTTTTTTCCCTCAAACATCAGTTATTTGGAATTTGCTTCCTTCATCTTGCTTTCCTTATTCATGTAATTTGCAATCTTTTAAGTCGTCTGTCAATTGTTTAATTATTAAAAATTCTCTTGTGAAAAATTCTCTCCTACAAAAAGAAGTTATTGAATTTTTTTTTTCTTTTCTTTTGTATTCTCTAATTATTTCATTTTGCATTAATGATTTTATATCCGTATAAATTAGTTTCCTTTTTGCAATTTATTCTGATTATTTTGCAAAAATATATTTTAAATGAGGCACATCTCTTTTGAGTAAATAAGAACTTTGTGTTTAATGACTCCATGACACTCTTAGATTTATATCAAAAAGTTTATTGGTTGAAGTTTAAACTAAAAGCAGTCCTGGTACTCTTTCAACACAATTTAATGTACCACTAAAACAAATTGTTACAGCATTTTAGGTTTATGTTTATTAAAAACTTCTTTTAACATACCCAATGCAGTATACTGCAACAAAATTGGCAATTCCAGGTATCCAGCCTAATTACCAAGTCCCTGAGTATTAACCGGGTACTTTTGAAGTTTTTATCTTTTAATCTTTTAGATCAAGAAAATGGAGTTAGATGGGAAATAAGAGTAACTAAAATATTTTTTCTGTCATAAAACTATAAACTTAATTGTGGCTTCATCTAGTGCAAGTCTAAGCATTGAGTAGATGTTTTTATGATGATTTTATTACAAATTCAAATATTTGTAATAAAATAGTTATAGAAATATAGTATATTTGTTAAATTAGTAAATTAAAACTTTATTAAAATCATTTAAAAATAAAAAAAATTTCAGTTATTTAACTAAACATTTTTAGTTACTTTACTAACTTTATTTTTATTATGAAATTTTTCCTTATTTTTAGGGCATACCATATCTAATATCACTCATGTCCGATAGTAATATGATCATTCGAGACTCTGTTGCATGGACATTAAGTCGAATTTGTGATCAAGTTCCTGATGCTGCATTGAATCCTGTAAATCTTGATGGACTTTTAGATGTTTTGATAAAAAATCTCGATAGTGAACCACGAGTAGCAACAAATGTTTGTTGGGTAAGTTTTTATTTGTTTGTTGGGTTATATAGTAAATATATCTTTTATTGAACATAGTTAGTTATAAACTGTTAGGTAAACTGCGAGTAGCAACAAATGTTTTTTGAGTAGGCTTTTTATTAAACATTAGTTATAAACTGTTAGATTTATAAAAATATTTAACATGTAACACTTTAAATTTGTGCAAAAAATTTATTTTATTATGACTAATAAATGTGGTTTTGACAATTAAAAAGCAACACTAAAAATGTTTATGGTGCTAATATATAATTTTTAATGAGCTTTTTATAAAGATGAATTTTTATTAAGATGGCAAACTTTATTTTTACAATTAAGCTAATTTTGTTTCAATGCTATAAAAATAGTAAATTTCAAAATAGCTTTAAGATTCTATCTAAAGTTTTTCAGAAAATCTGCCTACAGAGATAATAAAAAGTTAATACAAACGTGAAATTTATGAATTTATACAAGAAATTTAATTTTAAAATTTTATACTAGAAATTTAATGTAAAAATAAGGTGAAGGCTAAAGCAAAAAAACAAATAAACACCCACACATGCATATATATATATATATATATATATATATATATATATATATATATATATATATATATATATATATATATATATATATATATATATATATATATATATATATATATATATATATATATATAATATATATATATATATATAGAGAGAGAGAGAGATAGATAGATAGATAGATAGATAGATAGATATAGATAGATAGATAGATAGATAGATAGATATAGATAGATATATAGATATATATAGATATATATAGAAATGTCATGAAATTTTATTAGATCATGGAAAAGTCATGGAATTCCTAAATTTTCATTGAAAGTCATCGAAAATTCATGGAACTTTTTTAAATGATCTTTTTTTTTTTCTGTTGTGATATTTTTAGGATGCAAAGAAAAGTACTAGTATGTCTAGTCTAAGTTTTTTTTGAAAAAGATATTTTTGCAGTTTAAGTTATAGATAATCAGAAAAGTAAAAGAAAAAAGTTTTTTTGCAGACATGATTTCAGAACTTTTTAACAATTACTTATTGCATGGCAAGTATTACTGTATTTACTGGTTAGTGGTTTATTATAAAAGTCAATGAAGAGTCATGAAAAACTCATGAAATTTCATTTTCAAATTTGAGAAACACCTTTTATATATATATATATATATATATATATATATATATATATATATATATATATATATATATATATATATATATATATATATATATATATATATATATATATAAATATATATGTATATATATATATATATATATAAATATATATGTATATAAATATATATGTATATATATATATATATATATATATATATATATGCATATATATATGCATATATATATGCATATATATGTATATATATGCGGTAGTGGTGTAGTGGTAGAGCGCTCGCTTCATAAACGAGTGGTTCCGAGTTCGATCCCCACCATGTCCCTGGTAGTACCGCGCTCAACTCGTTTCTCCGCGCAGCGGCCTTGTTCGTCAAGGTTCGTGTTTCAGAGTTATAGAGTTGAGAGAGGGTTATAGCCACAAATAAGTAGCCTCCTCGTCTGTAATGGCCTTCTCGGCCTTGAGGAGGTGAATTAAAATAAAAAAATAAAAAAAAATATATATATATATATATATATATATATATATATATATATATATATATAAATATATATATATTTTTTTATTTTTTTATTTTAATTCACCTCCTCAAGGCCGAGAAGGCCATTACAGACGAGGAGGCTACTTATTTGTGGCTTTAACCCTCTCTCAACTCTATAACTCTGAAACACGAACCTTGACGAACAAGGCCGCTGCGCGGAGAAACGAGTTGAGCGCGGTACTACCAGGGACGTGGTGGGGATCGAACTCGAAACCACTCGTTTATGAAGCGTATAGTACTTTTCTTTCATATATATTTTTATATAGTAAAAATTGATCCATTACATATTTTTCTGTTAAAATCAGCTCTAGACCTGTTTCACACAGCATTAGGATCCAGATTTGTACTGTTGTACTTCAGGAATCAAAATCCTGGTTTATTATTTATAAAGAAAAAAATGTTTAACGAATTTGATTTATAACAAATTTTTCAAATTATGTAAATTATTTGGTTTATTAGAGAAATGGTAGGTTAAAATTTATATTTTTATAAAAGCAGTTTAATCTTTATATTTAATATTTACATAAGCAGTAAAAATAACATCCTAACAACAAACCTAACAACGGTAAAAATAGCGACCTGATTTTAGTTTGATTTAAACAACTTTAAATTTGGTTGCTTTGATGTCTTTTAAAAGAGCTTTTAAATGGACATTAGAAATTAACATAATTTAAAATAATTAATTTATGTAAAAAATTTTAATTTAGGCATTTTCATCTTTGGCAGAAGCAGCTTATGATAGTGCACTTGGCGATGATGAAGATGAACCTCAAACATTTATTCTTTCTAGTAAATTCAAGTTTATCATATCAAAAATTGTACAAACTGGTGATAGGTATTTTTTGTATAAAAATTTTAGTATTTAAAAAATCATAATTATCAAATAAAATTTTATATTTTATTAAAATAAAAATGTATATTTAGTATGATTTCAATTAGTGTTATTTTTTTCCTTTGTTATTATTATTTTTTTGCTATTTAGTTAAATTTATTTATCTTTATTTAATTATTATTTTTAATATTTGCAGATAAATTATCTCTTTAAAATCTATTTTCAAAATACTCATTCACACATCTCTAACTACACAAAAAATTTTCAACACCTACTCTCAACAAGGTTGCCAGTTTTTTTGTTTTTTTTGGCTTGATGCCAAAAAAAAACAAAAAAACTAACAACCTTGCCAAAAAAAACAAAAAAACTGGCAAAACAATAAACCAGAAATAAACCGCAACAAAAAAAGAGGAAATAAGACAAAACATTTATATCTAAAAAAATTTTACTTGAATATTTATCTCTATTTAAATACAATAAAAGACATATGTAGTTTTTAGACATTCAACAAAGTTGTGCTGATTAGTGAAAGTTGTATTTATTCTTCCATCTGTCTGTTGTATGTATTTTATTTCCATTCTTTACGATCATTAATAATCTCAGGGGTGTTTAAGTCTTTGCAACAAATCTTTTTACTTATTAAATGTGATTTTATGCAAATGACTGCATCCAGCACATGATTTGACATTCTGTTTCTCTGCTTGCTTTTTACATAGGTAACCAGTCAGAAAACTTTCCTGGCATCACAGTTAAAAACAGTAATACATAGATGTGCAAGGAAGTAGTTATAAAAGCTGCAGAAAATGGGGTGACCACAAATGTTGACATAGTATTTTTTCAGCTTTAAATTGCAATCCAAAGATGAAAAAATACTAAAAAACTTTCTGTATTGGTTTTTAATTTTTTGATATTATGTATCCATTAGTTTTTAAAATAAAACCTTTTTAACTTGGTAAGGAACTTTCATTGGTAAAACATTTAACAAGCTGTGAAAAATTGATCTGTTCTCTGGAAGTCTTTTCTCAAGCTCAGTTATTTCTTATTACATGTAATAAAAAGTAATTTTCAAAGTATTTTTCGACTTTAAGCTTTACTAGTAGTGAAGTCTAGAAAGCTTTATTAATACTAAAAAAGTCATAAGCTCACTTCTATAGTGTATCTAGAAAGTTTCTAAAATTACTGAATCATTCCTTTTTAATTACAGTGAATTTTTGACTTATGCAGTATTTCAAAAGGTTTATAACAACAGTTTCATATCCAAAATTAGTACATGAATGGATTGTTTACTTATAAAAAATTCATACATATATGGATTTTTTTCTAATAAACAATTCAGATGAAAAAATTTATTAATATTTTATTAATAACCTTGTGAGATTAAAACGTAATATTGAATTAATAATTAATTATTGATGATGAATAAAATATAGAAAAAGAAAATCAGCAATAATGATGTTAAATAAAAATAATAGACATATATAAACGGTAATAAAACATTTCTAGAAGTAACCTCTCAGTTGTGTCACATATAGCCTAGTTAATAGTCAAGACATTTTTATACAATGATCCAAGAAACCATTGTAAGCTTTAACACTGTTTACCTTCCAGTTATGTTATGATACCTCCTAGCATTACTGCAGAGGGTTAAAATAATAACATATTTTATTTATTTTAGATCAAATATTTTATCAAGTTAACATAAAATATCTAGTGTTTCATCATCCAAACTAGACTTTATTTTGTACAAATTATGCCAACAATGGCAAAAAGTCTTTTCTGATTAAACACTTGTTGGTTTTATCGATTATTAGATGCATTGGAGGAATTTTTGCTAATTTTTCATTTATAATATCATGCATTTATAATAAGATAATTTCTTGTGATAGTACTGGTAACAATATTGAAAATGACTATTTTTAATATTGTTACCAGTAGTAACAATATTGAAAATAGTCATTTTCAATATTGTTACTACTGGCATCTAGCCCTTATGGATCGTGAAGATAATCTAGAACATCAGAATATATACTTGGTCTCTTTTTTATCTCAAGAATTAATGCAGCATTCATTTCTACACTTAATGGTAGACTTAGCTTTGATAATTTGTCCAATTAAATTTTAATATTGTACTGATTGTTATTAAATTAGCATTGGCATACTCATTTTGTGAACTGCCATTTTTATTGGTTGCAATATAACAATAACACTAGGTATTAAGTTTTTTTTTCAGAACAAAAGTTATTGTCTTCATCCAAATTGATCAAGCCTTTTTGGACACAAACACGCACCTTGTAAATTTGCATAAGCATATCTAGAAGACTGTTCCACCTGGTTTTAGGATCTAAAACTAATGACAAAGTTTTTTTGAGCATGTCTTTTACATGTTTTTGTAAAACGATATAATTTTTAGTGGAAGAATTTTTTAATGTTTCCACAACTTTTCTGATTTTTTCTATCGATGAGTGGATATCGGTTTTTAACATGAGTTTCAAATGATATATCATTTGCAACATTTATTCTTATATCAGATTCAGTTTCCTCATCAGAATAAGTTTCATTCATGTTTTTATTGGGTCATTTTAATTTGTCTTGCTTCCTAATAGAACTATTTTTTTAATGTATAAAATGTAAAGTAAAGCTTGTTAAATGCTGTGTGCTAAACATAATTGATGTTGAATCTGTAAAAGTTGTCTACATTCTTTAATTACTGCAGCTCCATCAGTAATACTGTCAACACAGTCCTTTAAACCAAGATGAAACAAAGCTGGTTTAGACTTCAATGTTTCTAAATATCTATCTGCAGGCATTGTTCACTCATCCAATATTAAACTGAACTTCATAAATTTCAAAAAAATTTTATACGCACCAATTAAAGAGTGTTAATAAAAACCAAAAATGTGTTGTAAAATGTAAAAGGTAAAAGTTGACGTCGTTGGTAAAATTTTTTGTTGAAACATTTCTGAAAAATTTAAGTTTGTAAGAATATACTTATTTAAAAAATAAATTATTTATTGTATTTAATTATTTAAACTACCTTAATAATATAATATTTTCTTTGATAATTTAAATAAAATGTAGTTATTGTAAACAATCTTCGGAAGTAATATGTCACTTGATTCAAAAACGTTTCGCCTAATCAAATCATTCATGTTTAATCAAAATATTATATCATAATATAAACAACATTTCAAAGTGTTTATTGCAAATATAATTATGAATATAATACAAATAATTTTTTAACATTTAGTTATATTTATGTTTTGAATTTAACTACTTTGTAAAAATTGTATAGTCACTTATAAGATTTGTTTTTAACTTTTTTTAACAAGATGGCAGACAAAGGGAAAATCAGTCCAGTTTAGGAATACTTCAAATTAAAGGATGGGGACAACTCAAAATCCCAGTGCTTGCTGTGTCCCAGCATCTTGTCACGTGGTAAAGCTGGTGAACCTAAAAAGTTTTCAACTTTGTCCATGCTAACACATCTTCGTTCAAAACATCGTAATGAATACGACGAAATGCAAAAAAAAATTGCTGACTCACAGAAAAAAGCCAAAACTGTAGCACTGTCAAATGTTAAACCTAGTGCAACTGCTACAACCAGTAAAGCTGTGGTCCAGTACACAATCCCAGAACATGTTGCACGCATGAAAATATGGGATTTCAATAGCAGCTCATCAATAAAAATTAATCGCGCCATTGCTAAGATGATTATAACAGATATGGAACTGATTCAAGTTGTTCAGAAGACAGGCTTTGTTTAACTGATGAGAGTTTTAGAGAGGCGGTGCACTGTTTTATCACGAAAATATTTTGCAGAGCGATTAATTCCTGAAATAAACGATGAAGTGTGTGCTCAACTGTTGGTAATGCTAGATCCAGCATCTACTCCGTTTCTGTCATTTACCACTGATACATGGACAGCAGGCAATACTGTACAATCATTCTTGGGCTTAACTGCCTACTGGCTGACAGAGGACTTTGAAAACATGAGCTTTATGTTAGATTGTATGCCATTTGTTGGACACCATACTGCCCCTGCACTAATGACTGCCTTTCAGCAGATGCTTGCCAAATGGAACATTGACGTTGGACGCTGTCATGTCGTACTTCGAGACAATGCGGCAAACATATCAAAATGTCTCCATGATGCCAACATAGAAAGCCTCGGGTGCTTTGCACATACTACTCAGTTATGTGTGCATGATGGCTTGCTCAGCCAGCTGGCAGTATCCAATATAAGTATTGGAAAGAAATTAGTTGGTCATTTTAAGCATTCTTCCTCTGCGACTGGTCGGTTCAAGGAGCTGCAGGCTGAACTTTGTTTACCTGACCACCAGCTTATACAAGACATTACTACCAGATGGAACTCAACGTTTTACATGCTGCGTTGACTATCTGAACAGCGTCGTGCATTAACTGTCTACTGTTCAGAAGTAGAAGGAACTTCTTGTCCAACTGCATATCAATAGTCTGTGGCTGAGAATACAGTATGTGTGCTGGCTCCGTTTGAAGAGGCTACTTGTGAAGTTAGCTTTGAAACAGCACATATATCACTAGTTATCCCTATTGTAACAGCTCTGCGGAACTTGTTGAATAAGGAAGGCAATGATGCAGGTGTAAAGACTATGAAGTCAACCCTACTTAAGTCATTGGATGAGCGTTTTGAAGACATTGAGAAGAAACTTCTTTATACAGTGGCGACACTGGTTGATCCAAGATTTAAAACAAAATTCTTTTCATCACAAGCAACACTAACAGCTGCAAAAGCAGCGGTTCTCTTTGCATTTAATAAAATTACAGTGCAGAAGGTATCGATGCAAGTTGGAAGTCAATCTGAGCATGCCGAGCAGCAGATTGACAAAATTGAAGAAGTTCCAGCAAAACAAGCTCGAATGGATAATTTTTCTACATCATCATTACTCTGGCGATGTATTGATGAAATTATTCAGTCTACGTCCGTTGGTGGCACAGTACACGAACAACAATTACCAACAGGCATTGATACCCAGCTAAGCCAGTATCTGGCTGAACCAGAAATAGATAGACACGCTGATCTACTGCAGTGGTGGAGTGACAACATGCAAAGATTGCCAGCTCTGGCAACAGTAGCTCGAGTTTATTTGGGTGCCCTACCGACAAGTGTACCATCAGAACGTGTGTTCAGTGTTGCTGGGGAGGTCCTCAATGATCACCGTAGTTCACTACTGCCACATAATGCAGCTCGCCTAATATTTCTAAAGTACAATTCAAAACTGATTAAAGACAATTTAGAAAAATAACTGAAACTGAAGTTACTTTACTTGACTTTTAAATTTAAAGTTTCAATCGTTTATTAATTGTTGTTATATTATGTTAAGTTATGTGAAATTGTGTCCTATTTTAATAAGAACAATGAAATTAAACAAAAAAACAGTTGTCTCTTGGTATTGAGGATGGTCAACAATGTTGACCATTATCAATGTCATGTAAAGATGTTCCGGATTTCAGCTACTGTAATTTTGTTTCAAAATCCGGATTCGGCTTCGGCCGGATTTGTTGGTAAAAATCCAGCTAATCCGGCCCGGCCGGATTTGGAAAAAATTAGATCCGGTACAGCCCTAATCTCAATAGATAAAGTCTCCTCCCCCTCTGTTCCCTCCCCGCTTTATAATACAAATTTTTTTTAATGAAAAACAAACAAAATGTTTTTAAGAAAATAAACAAAATAAAATTTACAAAAAGTTAAATTTCTCAAATAATAAAATAATCTCATTGATTTCTTTTAAGTCAATACTATAAAAATCTTCCACTGTTTGACTGGACCTCAAGAGACTTTACTTTGCATAAAATATGCATCAGAGGTACCCAACAAAGATCATCTCTGCGTGGCCACGTGAACTTGTTACATAAAGACTTTTTCATGAATTTCATATTAAGATCTTGATGCTCTTCTGAAATACTAAGAATATTTCCTAAGTACCATTGAGCATCGTAAATGCATGCTGGTGAGTAACTTGAAATTTTATTAATAAAAATTCTGCAAGTAGAAAAATCCACATTAGTGCAAATACTATCAAATGAAACTCTTCTTATTTTTATTGAGGTAAGTGACATTGGGATAAAACTGCGGTGGTTTCGTGCCCCAGGTATTGTAGAACGAGAACGATATCTCTCTTCCAAATTGAAGTTTGTAATATGTGTTTCTATTGAAACTTTGTCAACAAAAAAAAGATATTCCTTTGATGTGTTGAACACACCAGCTGTAGATTTTGCTTGGTGTGTCAATAGGATCGTTAAGTGACTGTAGACTGGCTTGTGCAACAAGACGTTTCACTGTTTCACCAACACCATCACAAGGGCTTTTACCATGCGATATTGCAAAAAAGTACCACTCTGCAGTCATGTCAAAATCGTGTTTATGGTAGCATAAGTTAATAACATTTTCATAATTTTTATATTGTGATGCAGCTCCATCACTAAAAAAGATAATGCGTTTAAATGTTTGTAATAGTTCAATAGCATTATCGATAAAGCAATGAACAGCTTCTGTTCCATGTTTCAGATGATCTGATATAACACAATAACTTTGGCTATCAAGTTTTCCATCTTTTATAAAATACGCAACAAAAGGGTGCACAGTTTTCTGGCTGTTATTCCAGTGAAAACCTTGCACTGCATCATGTATTAGAAAACTATAGTTTTCTGCAAAGTCAAGAAGAACTAAAGCTTGATTTTCTTTTAAATTAGTTTTCAAATGTTGGTAGTAGGTGGCTTGAGTTTTTGATATAAAAATGATGCTCTCGTAAACTATCTAATTGTTCATAAACCATTTCAATAAATTTATCTAAAGGTAAAGTTGCTGGTGCTAAAGTACATTGGTAATTTGATTTTTGCCATTGATAAAAATTAACTTCACTAATTTCATTTTCTGTAAACAAAGTGTCAATGTAATCTAACAAAACCTCTTTAGCAGGACATTTATCGCAGCTATGCAGCATACAATCTCTATTTTCAATGCTACAGACCATTAGTTTCAATAAGATTTTGTAATCAGCAATTCCAGGAATTTTCTGTATCAGGAGCTTTACATTTTGATGGTACTGGCAAACACAAACATGCATGCAGACCAGAAGCACCACCCACAGGAATGCACCACTAGGGCTTTAGCTCACAAAATTTTGAAAATCCAACATTAAGATAACTATATTTCTTTTTAAACTCAATATGTAGCTCTTTTATATTGACTAGTAGAAGTTGCTTTTGGATGTGTTGCTTTATACTATCTACTTTAACTGAAACAAACTCTTTCTTTCCTGGACAAACCCTTAAATATTCATCGCATTCATCGAAATGAACAACCTCTGTAATTAAATCTTCGCTTAGTTTTCTACCCTGTTTTGGAGAAGGTTTCGATAGTATTCCACTTTTTTTTTTTTAATTTTCTGGCTTGTATTACAGATCTGAAGTCAAAAAATACTTCTGAGTTTTCTCTATTGACCAACACTCTGGAGTGAGTGTAAGAAGTGTGATTTTTTCAGAATTTGACAATATTTTTTCAAATTTTGACTTAATTTGAGTCATAATATTGTCTAAATCTGTGTTTGTTTGTTTCAAACATTTTTTTGAGGGTGATTCAATTCCACCAAGTGCAGCTATTTCTAAACCTAGCACATTGGCAACAGCCTTTTGTGTATGAGCTCTTTTGTGTATGAGCTGCTATCAATTTACGCTTTCCATATGGAATTCTATCTTTTTTTGAAACAAGTTTGAGAGGTTAGCATCCTAAACTTGCAATACTTGAATTAAGATCTTTTTTTAATGTATGGTTGTCAACATAAATTTCTTTTTCTTGGAGTTCATTTTCTTTTGTATTATATTTTCAATTCAGAACTTTTCTGCAACTAGTGCAAATTTTTTGACCAGGTATTAAACCAAAATCTTTGGCATATGAAAGACTGATAACTCTAAGAGAATCTAAAAAGTAACAGTAATAATTATTAAATATTGTTTTTTTTTTATTTGTTTAGTGTTATTAAGGTATTTGTATTAAATTAAGATATTAGTTTAAATATTGAAACTTACTTTTCACTTTTTTTGCGTGCTTGTTCAACGGATTACAACAATACCTGCGGTGTTCATTCTCATACCTCGACAAGTAAACTTTCTCATGATAGCTACAAATAATATCTATGTGATTTATTTTGCTTCTCAAAGAAATAAGCTCTCGGTTTAGTATAGGCAGTTCTTGGTAGCATTTACTTTTTTTAGGCTTGTTAAACTTAATAAGATAGCACTGTTCATTTAATGCAGCAAGTAGAAAGCTCAGGTATATTACTTATTATTATTTAGTTCTAAAATACAACAATTTATTTGGTTTTATTAGTACTTTTTAGATTGACATACTAGTAATATAGAATTAAATGAAACAATAACTTAACTTTTAAAAAGTAATAATTTTTTATGGAAAGTTTACCTGACTTTTAGAGACTACCTTTTGGGGGTTATAAATAAGCGCCCATTAATTTTTTGGTTTTTATTAATTAACACTCTTTAATTGGTGCGTATAAAAATTTTTATCAAAAAGTAGTGCCATCTTAGGTAACAGATGCTTTGCATCGCAGATCAATTTTACGAAAATCTCGATCTGACTCATTTTGGAGTCCTATAACTTTTAAATGCAGCTCTTTAATCAACTGATTTTTTTTTTAAATGTTTTGTCACCACATGTAGATCAGCAGGCAATTTGATTTGTATTAATCTTTTAACTAGTTTTTAAGGTTAAGATCATTAAAATCACAAAAAAAATTATTTTAAAAACAAAAATCTTAACTTTAGCCCGCCATTATGGAAAAAGTTAACATGCCAGAATTAAAATTTTTTTCTTTTTCCAAAGTATCTACAGAACACTTGCTATGTTATAATAACTGAAGTATAAAACTAAATTGTTCCAAAGTTATTAGATGTTAAAAATGATTAAAAAAACTTTTTTTTCTTTTAGAGTGAATTTTCATGCAAAAGAGTCCACTACTTAAATAGCGTTTTATCAAGAACCATATTAGATTTTGATCTAAAATTTTCAAAACATGCTTTTCACATATATATGTACAAAATCAAAAAATTTCAATAAAATCTAAGATGGTCAATGAGGGACCTCATTAAATATTGCACCACTTGGCACGGAATGACCCTATTACTGTTTCTTTATGCAATTATTTCATCTATGTTTTTTCAATTAACACAAGTGCTTTGAAATTCTTTCCAGTCTTCACGTTTTTCTGACACATAGTTAAAAAAAGCATCTTTAAAAATCTTCTTATTTTGTGACAATTGTGTGCAACTCATTAAATTTGATTGAAATTTTTTTTTTTAGGGGTGATGCCCATTTGAACAACTTGCGAAGTTCTGCTTATGAAGCGGTAATGGAGCTAGTTAAAAACAGCCCAAAAGATGTTTACTCAGTCATACAAGAAATTGTACTTGATATTTTAAATAAAATGCAAGCAATACTAAAAATGGAGGAATCAGGTAGCCATGTTGGGGATTACAGTCAACACAATGATTTTAAGTCATTGCTTTGTGCTACTCTTCAAGTAATTATAAACGCTTTTTTTTTTAATTTATGTTGTTTTTTGTTTTTTAATTTTCAAAATATTTATAATTTTATTTTAAATAGTTTTTGATTATAAAATTTGATAGTAGTTATTTTATCGTTATTTTAAAATATTTGTTTTTCATTATTATTTTTTAAGCTGTCCAGACTTATTATACTCTCAAATTTGAAAATGTAAAAAATTGGAATAATTTAATATAAATAATATATTTACTTTGAAGTATAAAACTAAAATGCTAATCGTGTCATTAATATCAAACTGGAGGTAGTCAGTTGATAATTACAGTTACCCATCTATTTGTGTTACACAGTCATTGTTTATATAAGAGTTAAATGATTAGAATGATATTTTGTAACTAGGAAGCATCAGAAGTATATTTTATCCTTTTTGTTTTTCTTTTTTTTTTTTGTAGGCAACTATTCGTAAATTAAAGCCAGAAGATGCCCATAAAATTTCTGCTGCTTGTATGGAGGCTCTACTTAAAATGCTTAATATGTCAAAAGTTGGAGGTGTGCAAGAAGATGCATTTATGGCTGTTGGAACATTGGTTGAATGTATGATTTTATTATAATATAATAAGTATATATATATACACACATACATATACATATTTACATCGTTAAATTTTCAGCCATATTCACAAAACTTTAAATAAACAATTGGGTAAAGTAATAAATAAAATGGTTTGGTAAAGATTATAGTATAATTACTTGTAAAAGCATTTTGTTTTTGCTTTGTTAAGAAACTTTATTCATAAGTTGAAAATTGTTTTTTATTTAGCTATAGGAAAAGAGTTCATTGCTTATATGCCTGTATTCAAACCTTTCCTTATTCAAGGTCTTCAAAATCGAGCAGAATATCAAGTATGTAAATAAAAAAGATTTTCTTAAAAAATGTATTTTAAAAATAAAAATTTATATATTTCATATAAATTTTCATATTTTAGTTCAAATAATTTGCTAATTTTATAAATTTTTCATGCATTAAAACTTTGTTATTAGGCAATGTTGCTGTGGTTATTTAGATTTTTTTAATATATAATTCTTATATAGAAAAGGTTATGAAGTTATTACTTTATATTTGGGTAATTCTACAATAATTGGCTTTGCTTAAGGTTAAAAATTAGGTGATATTATGTTATAATTTTTTTTTTTTCTTTCTCAACTGTGTAACTCCTTGTGTTTTGGAGTTAAACAGTTTAGAGAATCAACATTAGTTTACTTTTTAAAATATCTTTTAAAAAGTAAATAGACTATTATGTATAAATAAAGCCAACAAACCTCGAAGTCACTGCTAATCTCATTCTTTTTTTATTAGTTTTAGAAATAACTAAGAATCTTGTTAATTTTTAGTTTGAGTTATTTATGTTCAAATTTTGATGTTTTTGTAGGTATGCATATCTGCAATTGGTGTTGTTGGAGATATTTGTCGTGGATTAGCTAAAGATGATATTGCTCAATTTTGCGATGAAATAATGCAATGCTGTGTTGAGAATCTCTCAGTAATTCCTATTATTTTTTTATTCTATATATATATATATATATATATATATATATATATATATATATATATATATATTAACTATTTTTGTAGATTTTTTATTAATATTATTTTGTTAATATTTTAATATAAATTAGTAATTGGAAAAATTAAAATTTTGACTTTATAGGATAACACTGTGCATCGCTCAGTGAAACCTCATATATTTTCTGTATTTGGAGACATAGCTCTTGCTATTGGCAGCCACTTTACTAAGTATGCTAATGTTGTGTTAACATATTTACTACATGCATCTAGTGCACAAGTTGATAAGGTATATTTTTTTTTTGTGTGACATTTTTTTTGTATTTTTTATTTTGTAATATCTTAATAAAATTGTCATTATTTTAATACCTTTTTTTTACTAGGCTATCTTTTTCTAATTACTTTGTATCAATTTTAATCAAAAAATATAAAAGTAAATGGACGTCTAAAAATAATAAATTAATTTTTGTTTAATTTTTTTTAGCCACATAAAAGTTTACCAAGTATAGTGAGTTTTATAAGTAAGTTTTAGCCAAGTAAAAGGTGACTGCATAAGGACTGAAAAAAACTGTTTAAATTTTTTTTTTTTTTTTGGGGGGGGGGGGGGGGAATTGCATAAGTTTTAATATTGCTTTGTGAAAATAAAAAAAATGTAAATATGAAACTGTTGAGGTTGTTAAGATTAGAGCATGCAGAATCTATGAATGCTTATTACAGAAAAAAAAACACTTATTTCCCATATATAGATATTTTTATTTATTGACATATTCACCTCACTCTCTCACAAGATGTTTATGGCAAAAAGCAGTTTCATTTTTCATTACTTTTTAGTTATTTGTTTAATTATTTAAAATTAAAGTTTAATTAATCTACAGTAAAATCAAAATAAGCAATTTATATTCATTTTTTACTCATTTACAAAAATACTGAATCTTTAGAAATACTTTTGCCTTCATGATTTAATAAAACATATCACTTGGTGAAAATCCTTGATTTTTTGATTTCATTAAATTTAAAAAAAGAAATTAGTTAGTGTCATATAAAGTAAAAGTTAGTTGAATCTATCAAAATACATGTGTTCTATTTGAATCAATGAAAAATATACGTTTTGATTAGCTAGTTTAAGAAATTTAATAATTAGGAATTGAGGTAACATTAGAACTGCCAAGTAGAATATCTAAAGTTAATTTATTATCAGTTGCAAAGCACAACACAAATGTTTGATACTCACATACTTTGTGCAGATTAGGAAACAGTTAAAAGTCTGAGTCCAGGCAAAAACAAAAAAGCAATTTATTTTAAAGCATTGTAGATTTATTATTATGTGTTTGCTTAGATGCAATCATTGTTTATGTTTATCTTTTTGAACTTCGATTTAAATTTACAAGATTTTATTTACAGTCCAAATGCCAAATGGTTTTTAAAATGTTACAATCATTTAGAATAATATCATTCTTAAAATAGACATACCTAAACTTACTGGTGTTGTTATTATTCTTAAAAAAGACATACCTAAACTTACTGGTGTTGTTATTAATCCTAAAATAAACATACCTAAACTTACTGGTGTTGTTATTATTCTTAAAAATTTTTAGAGGCAAAAAGTTTCAATTTTTCAGAAAGTATTTTTAAAGAAAAACCATTTCACAAAAATTCTGATTTACATTACTTGGTATACTCTTTGAAATTATGAAGGTTTTTTCTTATTTTTATAAGAGAAGTTTTAGCAGTAAATATTTTATTAGTATATGCTGTACCTATTTGGTATATCATTATATAATATATTTGCTATATGTTTAATAATAAAAACTAAAACCAAAAATTTTGAAATTAATTTTTGTTTGTTTTGTTACATTTTTACTATCTTTTTTTATTATTATTTCTACATTATTATCAGGTTTCTAATCTTATGTTAAAAAACTGCCTCAAATATGTTATTACCACCAAAAAAAATCTTTAATGTTTAATTTTAAACATTCAAAATTTAATTAAAGTTCTTATAAATTTTCTATATACAAAATTAATCTATATTTTTATAATTATTAATCTACATACGTTAAAAATATGCTAGTTTTTGCAATGGAATATCATTTATTTACATTTTGGACAAAATTTATTTAATTCGTTTTTGTCGTTGAATATTTCTACTAGTGTTTGTCTTTATTATAGCTTTAAAATAAGTAGCGTCATTAGCTTAAAAATAATAGCGTCATAGCTTAAAAATATAAAGTTAAAATAGGGTAGAGCCGGGCATATAGGCACACTTAAGAAACAGATGCTAGTTGCGGATAAACTAATCATAGTTAACACTGTTTTTTATAAATTTCCAAAAATTCATTGACATGAGAAAATAAAAAAACAAAAAAAAAAATTTCTAAAAATAAGTTATGACAACTAAAGTAACAAAACTCTAGACAAGCAAAACTTTTACATTTTGCAAGTAGGTGGGGCTAAACGGGACAGTTAAAAAGCATCAGTTATTCGTCAATTGCAAAGTTTTAAAAATGATGAAAAATGAAGGCTATCTATTGCGTAAATATGTTCAGCCATTAAATTCTCAAAAAAGTAACATATCCATAGAAACTACACGCCTATACACTCATACACCACAAAAAAGAAATAAAATAAAATATTTTTTTGTGTGTTTTGTTATAAAATACCTCCGCTCAACTCTAACCTTTAAATTATTAAATTGGTAACTGCTACTAAATTTGAAATGTTACTATCCATAAAAAATTTTAAACAAAAATTTTTATGGATCACATAAATCACACAAAGAATATCCTGAAACTGTTCGGCAACATTTTTGATGAGCTGGCTTATTAGCAATATGCCAATGTAGAACAAACTTAAATACGCCATATGTATCAGCAGCTCTTCTAGTTCTAAGTTTCTGTTTACTCACACTAAAACTGAATTTCATCCCGTTTTGGATGATTGATCTTTCTTATATAATTTCTTACCTTCAGTGTTTACATTAAACACTATTAATCATCGAAGTTAAGTTATAAAAATAAAAAATTCTTTAAATTTATTGCTAAAATTAATTCTAAATAAATAAAAAAAACAATACTTTATATTAAAAATAAAACTATCAAACTGTAAACAGCATTGCGAAATGGTAGTATTATACTAAATTATATAAATACTAGTGTTGTCCCGATATGCCCCACAAAAGTCAATTTACTGAAAATAATACTATTCAAAAAGTTCTCTTTCAAAATTTTTTTTTAAATCAGATTCTAAAAGAGGATAATAATTACTGTCTGAAAAATATAAACTTTTTATAAATAAAGCAAATTTGCAAGAGTTCAAGATAAATCTTTTGTCGCTGTATCGCTTAAGAAAATACGCAAACTTTGTTTTTCGCAAACTTACTGTACTTTATGCATTTTGGTACTTTTAATTTTATTAAAATTTTATTTTATTTAATTTTATTTAATCTTATTAAAATTTTATTTAATTTTGGTACTTTATGCATTTTGGTACTTTTAATGCATTTTGGTATTTCTAAAATCAATTTTTTTATAATAATAAAGCACAATAATTTAAAATGATTTATAAAAATTTTTTTTTGAAAAAAAGTTATTTTCGGCTGAGATATAAGGCTTCAGGCATAACTGTTCCGTTATGCCCCGCTGCCCCGATATGTCCCACTCTACCCTATTATCTTTTCAAAATTCGGAATTTTTGTAATGACCATGACGTTACATTAAAAAAAATTCTAAATATGTCATCAGATTAGTTGAAAATCTATGAAATAAAATTTGTTTTTCATACGCACACACACACACACACACACACACACACACACACACACACACACACACACACACACACACACAAGCGAGAGAAAGATAAGTAAGATAAAGATAAGTAAATCTAAACTTTTTTTTTTTTCTTTTGTCTTCATTTATTTTATGTACTCGCGTAGAGATCGTAAAATTGTCAATTTGTGCAATGGTTTTGTTATATCTGTAATAAAAGTTATAGAAATTTTTATAATAGACTTTAGAAAATTTAGGAAAGTCTTAATTTCAAAGTTGAAAAAAAAAGATTTTTCTAAACTTTAAAATCTTTCATTTCCATAAAAGAACAGTTTCTTGATACTACCTGATACTCTCTTCAGGTAATCCCTTTGTCAATATATACTTAATTTGTATGTGCGTTTATAGCGTCGTCAAATTTGTTTCTTTTCCGCACAAATCCACAATAATCAATATTTAGCTATGCTATTTTCGTGTAAAAAAAAATAGTTGATTAATATCTTTACATTGAATTACCTGATTTTGGCATACCCTTTTACTTATTCATTTATTAAAATAAAAATGTTAATATTTCTCGTGATTATGTTGAAAAAGTTGTGATTATTTGTATACGGCATTATTTTGTAAATTCACTAAATCAATGCATGATTTTTTTTTTTCAGAATGATTACGATATGGTAGATTATTTAAATGAACTAAGAGATGCATGTCTAGAAAGTTATACTGGCATTATTCAGGGTTTGAAAGGAGAAGATGATAAAAACATTAGTAGTAAGCAAATTAACAAATGTTTAACTTATTTCCTTCGCGTTTTGCGCCAGAAAATAATTAACAAAAATTTTGGCTCTACAATAATTTTGTTTATTCTAGGTGATATTGAAATTGTGCGTCCACATGTTGAACATATTATAAAATTTATACACACAATCAGTGAGGATCCAGATAAAACTGATAGTTTAGTTGGTGCTTCTTGTGGCTTGCTTGGAGATTTATGTACTGCTTTTGGGGCAGCTTTACTTCCTGTAATCGACACTCCTTATTTCCAAGATCTACTTCAAACAGGAAGACGTTCTAAAACAGCTAAAACAAAAACTTTAGCAGTCTGGGCTTCTAAAACGATAAGAAATTTAAAAAAATAAAATTTAATGTATGTAATTGTTTACATTGTGCGTTTTTTTGTTTTGCAATTACGATTAATTTTTAAAATTGGGTAACGTTAACTTAATTTTTAATCTCGTTAATTTAAAACTTTAATCTCGTGGGAATAGATATCGAAAATCGTTTGCAGTTTAGTTTTACAAATTTTAAACAATAGACTATTTGTAATTTTTCTTTGTATACTTTTGTTTGTTAAGCTTATAAATGTTTATTTATTCTGTAAATTTGTATATAGTTAACTAATTTATTTTATTTATTTAAGTAAATCATCTTTGTTATTTTCAAAAATTCTGGGAGTTGTTTAAATTTTTGCTTTTCTGCGTTGTTTAAAACTTCTCTTTTTATTATTTATTATATATTTTTTTATTGTAGTATTAGAAGAATCTTGCAAGACGAATCAGTGTTAAAAATATCTTCTGGTTTACAAATATGAAAAGCGTCTCACACGAACAAATAGAAATAACGGACTTTTCCTGATATCGCTTTTCAGCTTAAGTACCATGTGTTTCAACTCGTGGACCGAGTGAGCAAATCGTTTTTGAAATAATTTGGTCTCGTGAACATTGTTGTATTATTATTGTTTTTAGTTATTTTGTATTTTATTAATGAACGTGGAAAAAATAAAGGATTTATAATTAAAACGAGTTCTGTATCAAATATTTCGTAAGTTTTGTTTAATTGTATTTAAAGTTAATCCCAGTGATTAGCTTTAACAGTCATCCTAATGAGGTCATGAATAATAAATCATATTTAACGAGTTAGCAGAAATCTGCGTAAAGTGTTGATGTAACTGTGGTTGCACCACACTAATATTGTTTTTAGAGATTTTTTCGATTATATTTGATTATAAAAATGTATTTATTCCACTTTATTTTGATACACACTATTAAATAGCGTAAATGATGATTTCTAAAATTATTATATTTGTTGTTCTTTCTGGTTTTGAAATATTTTGTAGCCAAATAAGCTTTTGAAATCCGATATCTATAACAAATTGCTGTCGTTTAAATATTTCTAAATTTTAACAAAAGTAATTAAATGTTACATCGACGTGTTGACTATATTACTTAAAATGATTCTTAATATCACTTTATGTTATTTTACTTGAAATCTTTTGTTTATTTTTAAATGATTATCGACGTTGTTTCACTTAGCTGTCCTAAAACGTTTTTATTTTCTTGAAAGCCTTTTTCGTCTGTTTATTTTAAACTGAAATCGCTGGGAGATCTTTTTATTTATACGACGCTTGCGATTTTATTTTTAGTTTACCCGTATATAGACATCATTGTTTCGAAAATTAACATTTAACAACCAATCGCTTCTCTTTAATTTATTGTTTACAAATTTGATTGGACGATTAGAATAAAAGCATTATTTTTCAATAAAGTTTATTTATCTTCTTTTTGCAGTTAACCTGATTGGTTAAAAACTACAGTTTTCTTGTATTTGATTGGTGAGTTTAATTTATATCGTTTAAATTGAAAAGCGGCTTTCTACTATCACGTTTATTGAATGAGCTTCAACTGTATACGAGACATATGTTCTCGCATTATTTATACACACCGGCTTATTAAAACATTTTATGTATTAAAGAACAAGCATCCAAACGCTTGAAGCTCGATTAGTTTTTTTTTTAATATGTTTCCAGAAAAAGAGTCGTTAAATGCATTGCCATCAACTTCGATTTTTCAAGAAATGCAGCGAATCCATGATACTGGATACTTTAGTCCCATACATTCTCTCGAGGACAAGTTTCAACAAGTAGGACTTAAAATTAAAGTGTCGTTTTACTTTTTTTTATTTTATTGAAAATACAGAGCGCTTAGCCAAAAAAAAATTTTTTTTAAAAAAAAAGCTATATTTATTTTAAAAGATACAATTACGATATTCGTTAAGTAATCTATAATTGTATTGTTATTACTTTAACATTGCGGCGGAACTAATTCAAATGCTAATTGGTTTCTTTTTATTTTATTTGTTACATAAATAATTGTGTGTTTTATATTGTAGCAATGGTTTTTTAAAAAGTATCTTTCATCTTCTTCCAAAACCAAAATAAAATTTTACGCATGCACCGACATTACATTCTTTAATCTAATTATACTTTGATTATTTAGACACGATTAGAGATGGATCGATATTTACGAAGCGAACCGGATATGCGTCTTAACTGTATTAAAGATAGACATATTGAGGTTACTACGGTAGCTTGGAATGAGTTTTTACCTCCTACCTGTATGGATGAAGACGTTAATTGTTTATCTCTTGATATAGAACTTTTGAAACCGTATTTTAATTTATATTCAATTAATAGTAGGATTCGTGTTTTGCCGGTCTCTCACAAAGAAAATACTTTAGTCGATGAATTGCCAATTTATAAAAGAAAATCTCCAGGTTCTCAAAACATTCAAATATCTGAAGACGTTAGTTTTGACCATGAGTTAGTTGCTAAACGTGTGCTTTTGACTCCTCCGAGTTCTCCTGAATCGATATCTAGTCCTTATAGTGAATTGAAGTCTCCAAAACCTATTAAACTTGTAAAAGGACAACGAATACAAAAAAACCGTGTAAATATAAACACTACAAAATTCTTAGATTCTATTACACTTAACCCTGATAATTCTGTAAACATTTCTGATTTGGCAAATCTAGACTTAAAAAAACGTATTCATAGATGCCAATTTAATGACTGTAAAAAAGTATATACTAAATCCTCTCATTTGAAAGCTCATCAAAGGACTCACACTGGTGAAAAGCCATACAAATGCACTTGGGAAGGATGTCAGTGGCGTTTTGCTCGATCTGATGAATTAACCCGTCATTATAGAAAACATACAGGAGCAAAACCATTCAAATGTAGTTCTTGTGATCGATGCTTTTCAAGATCTGATCATTTAGCTTTACATACAAAAAGACATGGAAACGGCCAACTAAATATATCGAAGTAGATTTAAAATCATGCGACTTTATATTTCAAATGATATATAAACTCGTTGAATAAAGTTTAATCTTTTGAATTATTAGAATACAGTTGCTTTTATATTTTGTTATTGCAACCCTGATGCAATAATACATATCTGTCCTTACTAATCTATTTATGAAGTACCTAAACAATTTAATATCTTGATTATTGTTTGAAGTTAAAAAAATTTATCCTTAGGAAAGTTATATTAGCAGTAATATCTTAAAAAATTCATTTATACATAGCATACATTATTTTTACCTGGATTGAAATATTTTTTTAAAATATTTACAAAATTGTTTTTATATGACCACAATAAATAGTTTAATTTATAACGAAATACTTTTCTTTATTATATATTATATTGTTACTGTTGATTTTTTTTTTTTAGTATTGTTTTTTATATTGCTCTTTTTTTTTTTTTTTTTTTTTTTTTAATTTTCAAGAGCACTTTACTTAGTCGTGTAGAAAGCAAACATTTCTATGTATTTTTTATTTATTGTTTTTTTTTTTTTTTTTTTTTTTTTTTTTCTATTTTTCAGAAATATAGTTTACAGTTTTTGTTCATTGTTATAATTGACAAAAAAAAAAAAAGAAATTTATGAAATTATACTATTTCTTTTATCTTTAAATATCTTTTAGTGCTTAGTAACAAAAAAAGCATTAACTGAATCAAACACTTAAGTTTTTACATGTTAAAGAAGTCTCGTGAGAAATGTTTGTTCCTTTAAAAAGAAAAATATAATTAATAATAGAAATTTTATTAACATAATAGACAATAATAGACATTTATATAAAAACAGACGATAAAGACGTTAGTATAATAATATAGAACAATACACATTTATATAACAATAAGCAATGAAAGACGTTGTCAAAAATTTTAAAATGACTATTTACTAAACAATCTATGGACCAATTTTTACGCTTTTCCTTTGGTATAATAAATTTTTAAAAAACAAAAAGCCCAATACGGATGTAACAACTAACTTTGAATAATTTAAATTCTTTTTTTGTTGTTGGTAACTTTTTTATTTAAAGAATTTTTATTTAACTAAATCAACTATTTAACTAAATTTTCAAATTAATACACGCAGTAACATTTAAAAGTCAAAATTAGTTGATGTAAGAATTTTGAGTATGTCCACTGACCGCATAAACAAACTAACTACAAACAAATTTGAATTGTTATGAGTAGCACTTATTAAACTCTGTTGCATAGATTTCTATTTCACAGCATTATGTTTTTCTTAATGGACAAAATGATTTTTCTAAATCACAATCTATAGGGCTTATGACATTTAATATCTAAAACCTCGTGCGCTTTATAGATCTTTTTGTTCGGAAGCGCGATTCTTTAAAATATCTAAGAATATCATTAGAATTTTACTGGACACATAGCTATTAAGTTTTTAGGTAAAAAAAGTAGATAATAAGATTTGTAAAATAGCTTTTTACAGACTACTACTGAGCCCGTAATTAGAACTTACAAATAAAAGCCCGTCGAAAAAAGTAACATTAACTATATATCTAATTTTTGTATTAAATAAATATTTTTGCAGTTTTGCACAATTTTGTACATATTAAGTTTTATTAATCTGTTTCTATTCTATAAAATAAGCGATCTTTAAATTGCAGTATTATATGATGTTAAAAGTTATTCACTCAAAATTTTCATCAGACTATTTTTTATTATATTGGTATAATTATTAGTTTTCTAGAAACTCAGTTTGATTAATCTCTATATTGTTAAATTATGCGTCATTTAGAGCAGAATAACAGCTTTAAATTAATTGTTTATTGTAGATTAATATCTTGAGATAATTAAAATGTTTTTAATATTCGTTGAAATATTATTATGGTTTATTATACTGGGTTTATATAATATGGTCCAATATATAGTAGTTATATATATATATATATATATATATATATATATATATATATATATATATATATATATATATATATATATATATATATATATATAATTATAGTAGTTATATATATATATATATATATATATATATATATATATATATAATTATAGTAGTTATATATATATATATATATATATATATATATATATATATATATATATATATAATTATAGTAGTTATATATATATATATATATATATATATATATATATATATAATTATAGTAGTTATATATATATATATATATATATATATATATATATATATATATATATATATATATATATATATATATATATATATATATATATGTTGTAGTCTTGCAGAGGTGTTCTCCGGAGCTTTCATCCATACTTTCTAAACTATTTAACAAGTGCTTATCAGAGTCTTGTTTTCCATCATGCTGGAAAGCAGCATCTGTTATCCCTATTTTCAAAAATTCCGGAGAGCGATCTGATTCATCTAACTACCGTCCCATTAGTCTTCTTCCTGTCATAAGCAAGGTTTTTGAATCTTTAATCAACAAACACTTAATCTCTCATCTTGAATCAAATAACTTACTTTCTGATCATCAATATGGATTTCGGTCTTCTCGTTCTACAGCTGATGTGCTAACAGTAATAACCGATAGGTTTTACCGTGCATTAGATAGAGGTGGAGAGGTTAAGGCTATCGCACTTGACATTTCTAAAGCTTTTGATAAAGTTTGGCATGCTGGTCTTCTCCATAAGCTTTCTTCTTATGGTGTAGCTGGTAACGTCTTTAAGATTATTGAGTCCTTTCTTTCCAATCGTAGTATAAAAGTTGTCCTCGATGGACAACACTCTTCTTCACATCCTGTAACTTCAGGGGTTCCTCAAGGTTCAATCCTTGGCCCTATACTCTTTTTAATTTACATTAACGATCTTCCAGATATTCTCACATCTAAGGTGGCATTATTCGCTGACGACACTACCATTTACTCTTGTCATGATAAGAAGCCTACACTCTCTGATTGCTTGGAGGGGGTATCTGAGCTTGAAAAGGATCTCACTTCTGCTACAGCATGGGGCTCACAGTGGCTGGTGAACTTTAATTCAGATAAAACTCAATTTTATTCGGCCAATCGTTATCTTAATAATTTAGATCTTCCTATATTTATGAATGGTAATGTACTAGATGAGTCATCTACCATTCATCTTCTAGGATTAACTCTTACTTCTGATCTTTCTTTTAAACCGTATATCAAATCCATTGCAAAATTAGCATCTGCTAAGGTTGCATCTCTTTATCGAGCTCGACACTTTCTTACTCCAGATTCTATTCTCTATCTCTATAAATCTCAAATCCGTCCCTGTATGGAATACTGTTGCCACATCTGGGGCGGATCTTCTAATGATGCTCTTTCTCTTTTAGACAAGGTGCAAAAACGAATTGTAAACATAGTTGGACCTGCTCTGGCAGCCAATCTCCAACCTTTGTCACATCGTCGTAATGTTGCTTCTCTTTCTCTTTTCTACAAATACTATAATGGGCACTGCTCTAAAGAGCTAGCGTCCCTTGTGCCATCTACTAAAATTCATTCTCGTGTTACTCGCCATTCAATTAAGTCTCATCCTTTTTCTGTGACTGTTCCTAAGTGCTTCAAAAACTCTTATTCTTCTAGTTTTTTTCCTCGAACATCAGTTCTTTGGAATTCGCTTCCTTCATCTTGCTTTCCTGATTCATATAATTTGCAATCTTTTAAGTCATCAGTCAATCGTTATCTTGCTCTACAGATTTAGTCTTTTCTCTTCCAGTAACTTCCAACTCTTATAGTGGTTGCTTGCAGCCTTGTTGGAAGTGAAGATGTTAAAAAAAAAAAAAATATATATATATATATATATATATATATCAAATATTTAAATGAAAAAAATACAACTTTTATGAGACTTTAAGTTTCATCCCATTCGTCTATATTCATATATATATATATATATATATATATATATATATATATATATATATATATATATATATATATATATATATATAATATATATATATATATATATATATATATATATATATATATATATATATATATATATATATATATATATATATATATATGCATCGGCGGGATGTCTTAAAGTCAAAGCTTCTTGCTGAAATACGTATTAAGTTTTCCAAGATTCTCTCATTGGTCAGCTCGTACTGATGCTTGTTTTTGAAATATGTTATTCTATTTACAAGGCTATTAATAATTATTTAGAAAATTAAATCAAAACATATTTTATTTGTGATTGTGCATACTTATCAACAAATGTTTTCTATATAGGCGGCTCTTCTTAATATCAGAAAATGTTTTCTGGGCGATCTTAAATGGTTGCCGACGTTAATGAGGTCTAAAGTGCCGGGAGGTCAAGAAGTACTTAACCCGCCCTGGATGGGTTATAGGGTTAACATTTTTTAATAATACTCCACTTAGTTATTGATTTAATACCTGTTTCCTTAAGTTTTCAGATCTCCTTAAAAAATTTCAGTGTTATTTTTATACCTGACCAAGTTAAATGGTTTTATGTGGTTTGCAAACCTGATCTTGAAGGAATTTTCGCTTATACCAATATAAGATTCCTTAGCATGATTGACGTTAGGTAGTGTTATAGTAGTCTTATAAACAATATTTTTAGTTAGGCATTGATTTTCTAAAGAACACGTAGCTTTATCTATACAGTTACATTTTCTGACATTATCGGTATTTTTATTGCGCAAAATGTGTTGGTTGTGGGACTTCATAATGGTACTGATATTTGAGCTGTAACTTATTTTTTTTATTTTTTTTTAATTTGTTATTTTAGGTGCCCCAAGAAGTCCTAACGGTCTTGTCACAGAGCACCGCGGAAGTGCATTTAACCAGAAAGTTCACGCCTCCTTCCTTATCGAGACGCAAAATATGTCCAAAGCTCGTTTCGAACCTGAATCTCCTGCTTATAAAGTAAGCGCTCTAACCACTGCGCAACGGCCGCATTTTGACGGAGTTTCTGTTAAAATTCTTGTGTAGCTTTTGGTCTGCTGGAAAATGTTAGTTGATTAAATTGAAGAAAAGGTTTCCTAATTTGATGACAACGTTCTTACTGAA